TAACATATTTTTGGTAAGATAAAAATATTTTAATTTATATTTTAAAAATAAAATATTTTAATTTTTTTAAAAAAATTTATTAAAACAACATAAAATAATTTTTATTTTAATTTTTAAAAATTAAGACGAATAAATAATAGCCCTTTCTTTCTGCAATAAAAAATGGTCGTCTTAATAAAAACCCATTTTTAATGATGATGACCCCAGTGACGCCTGCAAAATTTTTCCACGCCGCGCATCAGGGTTCTCCCCTGTTTAGCTTCCTTTGATCCTGAAGTGCTCTCGCTCTGGGACCATGGTAACTGAATTTCTTTCTTCCTTCCTTCCTTCCTCTTATGTTTTTGGGTTTTTTGTTTCATTTTCTTTGAACTCACTCAAACATACTACAGATCTACTCTTTCTTCTCTTCAACGTTGTTCAGATTTATGAGATAATCTAAATATATATATATATATGTTGTTTGGGGCCTCTGTTGATTGAATCCACGCGTTTATCTTTAGATCCGCAAGTGAATTTCTTATTTTTATGTTCTTTGATTGTAAGCTCCAATTTCCCTGTTTTGGTGTTTCTTGATGGCTCTCCAATTCTGATTGCTGAATTGTCTTTTCATTGGATGCTTAGTAATTGGATCCAGTTTTATTAATCTAATTTTTCATTTGATTACATGGATACCCAGATCTTTACCCCAACTAGATCTGATGTTTCATTTGAAATATCATCTTTTCTGGTGATTTTAGTTTGATGCCTGATTTGGTATTTTTGACTCCCGTTACCGACTTTTTCTTTTGGTTGCCTTGTGTATACCGGAGTTGGTGATTTTGTTTTGGATGTGGGGAATATGTTTTGTGTTTATATGTTCATCATAAACATAGGCGATTACCTATTCCCGATACACCAAAATAAGTTTTGCACAGAGGAGGAATGAAACTCTATTGGAAATGGTTAGACCCATGATGGCACAAACTAATCTACCAATTTTCTATTGGGGAGAGCTTTGTTAACTGCTACCTAAATGCTTAATTTGGTGCCCTCTAAATTGGTCAAATAATACCCTTATGGGTTATGGACAGGAAGAAAACCTGGGTTGAGTCATTTGCAACCCTGGGATCCATGTGTTTAGGTCATCTTATTAAGTGCCAAGATCAAGGCTTTTGGGTTAAGGTTTAGAGGACAATTCTTTTGCATCTGTATGCTGGAAGCTGGAAGGTTCAACATTGAAGTTGTGTTTTGGTTCTAGGGTACCAACTAGATGTGAAAAATAGTTCATTAAACCTTTAACTGCATTATTTTGCAAATGGTTTTCAGTGGAGGGAGTGATTTTCCAATTTGTCAATTTGTAATAGTTTAGAATGTTATTATCGAGATTTAAAATCTTTTATTGTTGCTAAGTTTTTATCTCATTTCCATTTCTTAATTTTCATTCTTGTATGTATTTCAGATTCACTTTGTGCTTTTAATTAGTCGGCAAGGAAAAGTAAGGCTGACAAAGTGGTATTCACCTTATTCTCAGAAGGAAAGAGCTAAGGTATGGTAGTAAATTCTATTAACTTGATTGATATATTTGGGCTGAAACTCAACTCTCTTAAGGTCAGGGATATTATTATAAAATTATTGTGCTTCATAGATACAATTTTCTGCCCACTGCTTATGCCCACGTTATTGGTAATTTGTTCACGCTTTTCTGAAGCTGATATTATTTTTCTTATTAATCCTTGTCTGTAATATTATGCATTCTTGAAAAGGTTATCCGTGAGCTCAGTGGAGTCATTCTTACCCGAGGTCCTAAGCTTTGTAATTTTGTGGATTGGAGAGGATTCAAAGTTGTTTATAAAAGGTATTTTCATAATCTGAGACAAAAGTATTTTACTAGGTATTTATTTATTTTATCCTTTTTAAAAAATTATCAGCTGAGTTGTTTCCCATAAAATTACTATGCAGATATGCTAGTCTTTACTTCTGCATGTGCATTGATCAGGATGACAATGAATTAGAGATCCTTGAGATAATTCATCATTATGTCGAAATTCTTGACCGCTATTTTGGCAGTGTAAGTGAACTTAAGCTTGAACTTTCATAGTGAGAATATAAGAGTAATGCTTTATTATATATATATATATATATATTCATCATATGTATATATGTATAATTGTATATATTCATTTGGCTTGTGAATTAATTTGCATGCAGGTTTGTGAGTTGGACTTGATCTTCAACTTCCATAAGGTATGTTCTCTATCCTTGTTTGCAGTTGGTACTTTGGACTTATCTTCTTTAGGAAATATTTGACAACAAATTTCTTGTGTCACTATTAAGTTTACATTTATTTCCCTTGCTTCAAAATCTGCATTTCTTCCATGTCATTTGAAGGACTGCCGAAATCTAGTTATCATAAGTTGACGCCATGTTGTTAGAATAACTTAACATATGAGCAGCAAAAGAGTGCGACATCATCCTTGTTCAGTTTTGCTTTCAAAATTAATGTGCAATCAGTGTTAATTTAATCATGTTGAAAATGGCAGAGAATTTTTTACCAAAGGTATTATGAATTCCCAACCTCTTTGGTACCCAATCTCCTCCCTTCTCACAATTATATTGATTTTATGTGCACCTTAGTCTCCCATTCTTGCACTTTGCTCCACTTAATCCCCTCTAGGTCACTTCGGCATCACGTCAACCACAAAGATTATGTAAATAAATTGCCACAATATTCTTGATCACCTACCTTTTTCTTGCTGTTGTATTCTGTTTCAAATTTTGCCAACGCCATAGTCTTCTCTAAAAGAATTAAGTTTAATATCTCAGCCCTTGCTTCTATTCCACTACTCTACCTTTTTGCTGATTAGTATTTGTAGTAGTTACTATGACCTAATTTGCATCTGTAGTTGAGCATACCTAATTGGTCAAGGTAATTGACTAATCTGATACCACAAATATCCATTTCCCTCCACTTCTCCACTAATTTCTAGCATAGAACAGGACCAGCCTTTTTTTTATTCCTCGAGAAGAAAGCTTCTGTCAATTTGAGCATTGATTATTAGAAAGAACTTAACATGGTCCTGCATGAATTGGGAAATATGTTTCTTTGCTCATTCTCTTCTGCTGTTAACATTGAAGGCTTACTATATATTGGATGAGCTCTTGATTGCGGGGGAACTACAAGAGTCAAGCAAGAAAACAGTTGCACGACTAATTGCCGCACAGGTACATTTTTTTCTTGGTCCGAGATACCTAACTGTCTATGTTTTTCATACTTTTCTGAGGGTAGCGTTGGGTTTCAGGATTCATTGGTAGAAACGGCAAAGGAGCAAGCCAATTCAATAAGTAACATAATAGCACAGGCAACCAAGTAGGATACAAGTGTGATTGCCTTAGAGATTGGTTAATTTTGATGTCTGTATTAAATTCTTTTGAAATTTTGAATTTTAAGAACTGAGATTCATGCCACACATGGAGATTCAAGACTATAGTTGTTGATTGCAATCCTCATGTATGTGGTATATGCATTTGGAATCCAACTATTCAAGTCTGCTGTTGTGATGACTGTTATATACAATTGGAATGGTATTTCAAATTAATGCTTGTTCTCATATCATCCTGTTCGTTTATTTTTGCCCATAGTGGCAGAAGCCACTGCATTTAGGAGTCATGAATGCAAGAGAATTGAAAAGAAAAGAAAA